CCCTATATCAATTTCTATGCATTTTAAAATAAATTCTTCCTTAAATGATTCTCATATTTGAATAAATTAATTTTTTTATGTATTAGTTATAAAACTTAAATTTTGAACCTGATATAACAGGCAACACATATTTATTAATGAGTCCAATCTGTGGGGGATTTTGAGGATGCTGGTTTGTGAACAAACAAATGGAAAACTCAGTTATGCCGGTCCTTTATGATCATTACTACTGCTGGGCAAATAAGGGGGAACAAGAAACAAGGTAATCTTCAAAAGCAGCGAAGGCCGCAGTTGACCGGCTTGCTGGAACTATTCAGATCAAGACCTTTTCATGGTTGAAGGATATGGCTGAAGGATATGGCTAAGAGGTGTCTTTTGATTTTCTTAGTATTCCACTTTGAATCTAATCTTTTATATGAAAACGTGTGGAATAAAACAACAACGCGCAATTCTCTAGCCTTCACTTTTTCATTTCTCTCCCTAATTTTCCACCAAACCAAAACTCAATATACGGCAAGATACATTTTCGAATTAATGAAAAGCCTGCAATTTTAATAAAATTTTCTTGCTAAAGTAATCAATTTTTCAGAAAAATTTTCCCAACAACTTTTCAAAACAATACCCTTGAGAAAGGGAGAAAAGGGGTAGATAAGGGTATAAATTATATTTTTTTATTTAAAGATATAAATTTTTTATGATTTTTAAATAATTATAAATTTTTTATTTTTTATTTAAAAATATTAATTTTATTTTTTATTTAATAATTAATTAAATGATTAAAAAATCATTTATTATGTCAGTATTATCATCTAATTAATTCTTAAATAGAAATAAACGTACAATTGATATTTTTAAATAAAATAATTAAAATTTTATCATTTTATTTAAAAATTGATAAAATTTACCTTCATAAACTAAAAAAAAAATTCACATCCTTATCTATACTAATATCCAATTACAACTAGTGAAATTTATATACACTTATACTTGCAACAGTATAATTTTAATTTGTACAATTTATATCTTATTATAAGTAGAATATTAACTCACAACTGGTTTGATAAAATATAAATTGTATAAAAGTTTATTTAATATTGTATACCCTATATAATTGATCTTTAACCCAAACCCTTCGTCAAAACCAGACATACCCCTACAAGGCAGACGATCCCTCATACAATTACGCTCTGTACCCTTTTGGTTGGTAAGAAAATAATTCACATAAATGGGATGTCATTTCTTAGATATTTCTTTCCTTTTTTCTTTTTTTTTGACTATCCATGATCCCAACACTTAGGAATGAAGCCAGAAAATAATCTCCCGAGCGAAGTGCTATTTAAAATATATACATTAAAAATGAATTTTTTGGCTTATAAATAAGATTAAAAACTTAAATGTATGAAAACTAAAATTTTAAACGCTTTAAATATAGAAAAACTTGTTAAAATATATATGTATTTAAATTTCAATTCAAAACACAACTTCTATTACAAAATATTACTTGATATAATCCAAATAATAAAACTAAATGTTTTAAAATATTGATAATACCAATTTCAAGTCATTTTTATTTTATTGTTTGGTTCAAATAATCATTAACCATGTATATATTACAATGATAAATAAATCAAACAAATAAAAATATTTTTGTAAATTCATTTTACTTGTTTAGTGGTTAGTGATTTATATCATAAGACCTGCGGAAAGAATAAATGTTAAAATATACTATTTTATTTTTCTTAAGAAGGGCTTATTTGATTATTTTAAAAAGCATAGGACCTGTTTAATTTTTTTCAAAAGTCCGGGGCGGGTGAGGCCCACCTTTGCATCCCCTTTGCTCCGTCCCTGCCTACGCTTAGGAGCAGTTGGTACAAAGAAATAGTCATTAATTTACCGTATTCTATGCGCCAATAAGATAAATCCTTGTTCGCTAGATCCTATATAATCTATAGCCAGCAAATATCATTTCTGCGAGCCAATTTGTGAGTAAAATGGGTGCTGGGAATACATTGGTCTTTAAACCAGGGGCGATCTTCATTCTGGCAGTCCTCATGGCTGAATCGTGCGCAGGACACGATAAGCATGTCGAACCTAGAAAGCTCATAAGTACTACTGATGACAGGCCAGGTAACTCAATTAAAGCTTATTAAACTATTTATGTCAACTGAAAATTGATAGTTGATAATAATTTAAATAATATAACTTTCTAAGTTTAATTTTATTTTCTTTTAATTTGAGTTTCAAATTGATGTTTAATTATTATTAACATGATTTTAATTTGTATGGAGTAAAGGTTCAATAAGCATTGATTGTGGGGTGAATGAAGATTATCCAGATGAGCAAAGTGGAATATATTACAAGTCAGATTCGGATTTCGTTAAAGCTGGAGAGAATAAACAGGTATCCCCACGATACATACTCACACATCCTCAGATGGGGCAGATGCTTCAAACCTTAAGAAGTTTTCCAGAGGGAAAGAAGAACTGTTACAACCTTAAACCTGAACAGGGGAAAGGCCACCACTACATGTTCAGAGCCATGTTTTATTATGGAAATTATGATGGCCTGCAACAACCCCCTTCGTTTGAAGTATACCTAGGAGTGAATTTTTGGACGACCGTGAGCTGTAGCAACGACATGACATTTTATTATAATGAAATCATCCAATTTTTGTCGACCGATACCATAGATGTCTGCTTGGTGAATACCGGCTCTGGTATTCCAATCATTTCTGCATTGGAACTTCGGCTTTTGAACGACGCCATTTACCAGATTGAATCAAGAGTACTCGGTGAACGCATCCGTTATGATGTAATCGATAACAATTTTTCCACAACCAGGTACGTAATAACAACCTGTGTTAATTTTTATTTTTAGTTTTGATTGTGGAGATATGGTCAAACGATTACAATTGACCCCTAAAAGCTAAATTTAAAATTTTAGAAGTGATACCTAAAATTAATTTTTTTCCAATTTATTAATTTTTATTTTAATTCACCGGTTGCAAACTTTAATAACCAAAACTAAAAACTAAAACTAACATTATTAAATGGCCTAAGGAAGTTGCTTTTTATTTTTTAATTTTGATTTTTAGGAAGTTGCTTTATCTTTTTTATTTTGGTTTTTGTTTATAGCTGAAGCAGGGCATTTAGGTTTTTATTAAAAAAATTTTAAGTAAATAATAATGTTATAATTATAATATCATTTAAAATTATAAATTTATAATTTTATATGACATTAAATGAATATAATTTAGTATTAAACAAGTGAATACATATAATATTATAGATGAAATTATGAATAAAAATAATTAATTATAAAATAATATATTTTCTTATAAATTTATAATATCATATTGTATTATAATTATAGTATTTTCATTAGGGCAAATGAAGTGCGCACTAAAAACTCCTCTCCTTGCCTTTGGGTTATATAGGATGATTAATATATGAGATTGTTTAGGCCTTTTTCTCCGCCTGTCAGTTTTGGCCCATAAATCATTGGTCTTGCTACTTTATGTTCATTTTATTTGTTACATTTTAAAAAAGGATTAAATATCAAATTTAGTTTTTAAAATTTTAATTTTGAACAGTTTTAGTTTTAAACTATTTTTTGTACTTTTGTCCCTAAACTATGAAAAATATACCTCTTTAGTTCTTTCATTAGTTAATTCGTTAAATTTATCTATATATATACATTTTTAGCTCCTAAATATAATAGACTAATCGACGAAAAAGCTAAAAAAATACATTTTTCATAGTTGAGAGACTAAAAAAAAAGAGCAAAAAATAACTTGAGGGTTAAATTTGGTATTTAACCAATAGGTGGCCCATTTTACTTCTCAATTTTTACTTCAGACATAGCATTAAAGTCCTTTTTCTTTCCCAATCTTACCCCAGTAATAATTACTCCTTTTTTAATCCAACTTTCCAATTAACTTCCATTATTAATAAGGGTAAACATAAAACTCTAATGTATTATGAATTTTTCTTATTAGTGCGTGCTTCACCTTTACATTAATTTTTTTCATAATGTAACTTCTCACAATTAAGGGCTCATTCCTCACCATCAAAAGGGTCATTCATGATCCCACTAAAGGCCATTCAAAGGGCTATTAAGGTGTCATTCAAGAGTCTATTAAGGTGCCATTCAAGAGTCTATTAAGGTGCCATTCACTCTCTTATTTAATCCTATTGAATGGCAAATGTAACCCCCCATGTCCCTTAGCTTATATATATAGGCTTACAAATTTATATGATTGGTACATGGAAGAGAAAATAGTGAAATAAGAAACTCTTCCTTTTTGTTTGTCATCTTGCTACTCTACCTCTTATTTTATAATACAATGAATAATAATTGTGTTTTTATGAATTTTAATAATTTTTTTAAATCATGTCATGTAAAAATGTAACAAGGAAAATGAATCTCTCAAGTATTCTTTCATGGTGTATAAGGTGGGAAGCAAAACCAATTTAACTCCAACTCTTTTTAATGCAAACCATATGGGTTCCTAATGGTCACTAACCAAACAAAATTTTTTGGTATTAACCTCCCGGTATCGAGTAACCACATTGGATCTCGACTAATTTGAAATTAAGTCATATCAGATCCCATAAGAGTAAAAGTTTTCCCAACATCTGTTTCTCTATTCATAAGACTCAAATTTGAAAATTTACTTAAGAGAAACCGAGTTCATTCCACTCGGACCAACAGATCATTGGTCTAACCAAACAAAACTTTAAATGTAAAAAGCTTCACTTATTTGTGAAGGTTCAAACTTATGTAACCCTTCTTTTCACCCATTTCATATATAAGCTCAAATTGTTACTGCTTAATTAAACGGTTAGGTTGCTCGCTATCTTTTAAGTTTTGAACATATGTAAAAAGGGTAAAAATTTGATGTATTCCTTTAACTTTTAGTAATTTAGTTCCCTAACTTTCAAGTTAATTCAATGAAGTCCTTATATATTATATTTATTGAGATTTTTTTTTTTCTTCCTTGTTAGATACAAAGATGATGTTTATGACCGCATCTGGAAACATATCACTTTTCCTGGAGCAAGTTTAAACAAAACAATGATAAATATTGATATCCAAGATAGTAACAATAACTACAGAATTCCAACAGAGATTTTGAAAACGGCTATACAACCATCAAATCGTTGGGATTCATTGAGTTATTGGTTTAAAATGCCAACAGATTACTTTGAAAGGGATCTATATGTTTACTTTCACTTTGCTGAGATTGTAAATACCACAGAAGATCAACGACGAGAAATCAGCATTACGTTGAATGGTGTGAAGTTAGCCCCGATTACTCTGGAATACTTAAAACCACTAAGCATAGGACCCCAAAACTTTCCGATCAAAGGATTTGTCAATTTTTCAATTGATGCAACGGCAGAGTCTAGTCTTCCACCCCTTCTCAATGCCTTCGAGATTTATATGGATGTTAAATTCCCGACATCACCAACGCATCTTGTGGACGGTATGATTTATGTTTTTTTATATTAAATCTAACTGATAAATAATTAGTAACATCCTATGCTTAAGGCATTGTTCCCTATTTTGGTCATTGAATTTCCCTTGAGCTCATATATATATATGTGTGTGTAAAGAAAGATCTATTTACATGCAAGTTTTATATATTATATTTATATAAAATCTCAATCATTTATCTTTATTTTCAATAGTTGGAATTTGTTACGACTTTTTAAGTAAAAAATATAATTATTTTAATAAATATGAATAAATCTAAACTATTGAAAATGAAAAGATAAATTGTTAAAATTTTGTATAAATGTGGTATGTGAAACTTATGTGTAAGTAGATCCTTAATTTATATATATATATATATATATATATTGAACCTCCTTAAGTAGCTAATTAAACTTCCTAATCTACTCCTAGCATAATTTGGTACTTAATTTTTCATTTTTCTGAAAAAAGAAGCATGCAAGAGGCCCAAGACCACGATGTGCATCAAGGATGGAAATGGGTACGGTAACCCAAATCCTTTTAGCAATCTTATTGTCCAAACCCAACAAGGATTACTTGCTGTAGCGGGTTTACCTAATAGTTTTTACATTACAATTGGCATTTATATATGTTAATATTTTCAAACACATTAATTAGTTATAAATTGATAAAATTAAATAAATGATTGGTGGAAAAATCAACTTTTATGTTGATCTATTGAATAATTGCAGTTGATGCAATCATGGACATCAAGCAAATGTACAAGATAAGTAGACCTAATTGGCAAGGAGACCCGTGTGTCCCAGGAGCATATGAGTGGAGTGGTTTGCACTGCGGTTTTGAGAATTCTACTATGAGGATCACATATCTGTAAGAAATTAATTATCTAATCTAGATGACAAGTAGATCACACAGGGATTGGGAGACCCAGTCCCTATTGCCTATTCCCACCAATTGCAAGGATGGGGGACAAATTTTTCCTTTCCTTGAAAGTAGAGAGATTGAAAATGTAGTTACAATCTCCTACTACTAATATGTTTTTTGGCATATATAGGATTTTTCTTAATACAAACATCTCCATCTTCCTTCAATGAATTACGAACAGGAATTTGAGCTCAAGTAACTTGGAAGGGGAGATTTCTTCTTCATTCTTCAGTCTGACAGCAATGGTTTCTCTGTAAGTAGTAGTGTGATTATATATTGAAATTTTTTAAAGAATTTCATAATTAGTTTTTTCTTTTTATTTTTTTGGTTTCAGGGACCTATCAAATAATAAATTGACAGGGCCGGTGCCCGAATTTTTAGCACAACTACCCAAGTTGAAAGTCCTGTATGTTATTTTCACATTAACTGATCTTGCATACAAACTTTCTATTGTTTCCTTTTAGGGATATATAGATTATAAACAATACATACTGGGTTCATTCATTTGCAGTGATTTATCTGGAAACAAGTTCAAAGGGCAAATTCCCAAGGCTTTAATGGAGAAGTCTAATAGTGGAACTTTGCAACTAAGGTTTTGATTTCATTTTTGTGCCATATTGCCAACCTTCCTTCAGTCCTTTCCAAGTCAGCATTTTCAACATATCTTTTGGTTTGGATGAATCTTGTAACATGATTGCTAACAATCCTCTGATGCTTTCTCATGGACATATTTTCTCATATTAGCCAATTCTAATTGCAAGATTAGTATTCATGATTAATATGCTATAAAATCTAACCATTTATCTATGTACTCAATCACAGATTGGACGAAAATCTAGACCTATGCCTGATAGATACTTGTGAAAATAACCATAAGAGGATGGTTCGTCCCATAGTCGCTTCTGCTGTTTCAGTTGTGGCCCTTCTTATCTTATTGAGTGTTCTACTCATCATTTGCATAATTAAGAGGAGAAGACAAAAAGGTAAACCTCATTGTTAAAAATGTTAGGTGAAAGCATTTTCTAGTGCTTGCGTTTATCTTGAAATATGTTGGTTTTCATTACTTTAGGGGCCAAATTAAAGGAGGAGCGGTCAATGAAATCAAAGAACAAAACCTTTACTTACTCCGAGATTTCTAACATAACCACCAATTTCACAATGGTTATTGGGGAAGGAGGATTTGGAAAAGTTTACCTTGGCACGCTGAATGATGGCACTCACGTTGCTGTTAAGGTTCTATCATCATCATCAAAACAAGGCTATAAGGAATTCCAAGCGGAGGTTGGATATTGCGGCCATTATTCTTAATACTCTATAACACAAGGCATGCTACCAAATGAATTTCACTTTGACAAAGCATTATATTGAATACAGGCACAATTGTTAATAATAGTTCATCATAAGAACCTAGTTTCACTTGTGGGATATTGTGATGAAGATGACAACAAAGCTTTGGTTTATGAAAACTTGGTTAATGGAAACTTGAGGCAGCATTTATCAGGTATAAACAATGTTGTACTCAACAATCCTTGACCAATTCATTGACCTTAACAACCTGAACTGGTAATAGGTTATATTGACATATTTTTCCTGCAGATGGAAACACAAACATTTTGAGCTGGATTGAAAGACTTCAAATTGCTGTAGATGCTGCACATGGTCCATCCTCTTAACAAAATTTTCCAAGTCAATTTTTCCTTTTCCCTTAAAGTAGTTTAATTAACATTTTTATAGTGTTATAATTGCAGGATTGGAGTATTTGCATAATGGTTGCAGGCCACCAATAGTCCATAGAGATTTGAAAACCTCCAACATCTTATTAACTGAAAACATGCAAGCCAAGATAGCTGACTTCGGATTATCTAGAGCTTTTTCAACAGAATTTGCTTCCCATATATCAACTTGCCCTGCAGGAACACCTGGATACCTAGACCCTGAGTGAGCCTTAACTCTCAAACATGATTAGTAACACTTTTTTATTGATATAATTGTTTTTATATTTTTCTTACAGGTTTCACTCATCAGGAATCATTAACAAGAAAAGTGATGTCTATAGCTTTGGAATAGTTCTACTAGAATTGGTTAGTGGTCAACCTGTCATATTAAGAGGTGAAGAGCCCATTCATATAATTGAGTTGATTAATCCTTTGATTGAAAGAGGGGATATCCGGAGGGTCATTGATCCAAGGTTACAAGGTGAATTCAACATCAATGCAGCCTGGAAAGCAGTGGAGATAGCAATGGCATGTGTGTTGCCTCTTGGAATCCAGAGGCCAGACATGAGTCAGGTACTATTAGAACTTAAGGAGTGTTTGGATTTAGAAACGGGTTCCAGAGAAACTCAAAAGATAGGGAGCCAGATATTGAATAATTCACTTGAAATCGCTCATCCTCTTGCTAGGTAATTCAATAGACAATGCTTCATGGATTTGTGGATGTAATTCCTTCTTGTTGTTTAAGGCTATAAACTATTGTTAGTTTATTTGAGATCAAGTCTGTTAAGCTAGGTTTTTAGCAATTATGTCTTTTATGAATTTTGTAAACCATGTTAGTGGTGTAGCAATTTGTATTGTAGTTTCCCAACTTCTTTTTGTTTTAGCAACTACCATGTATAAGTTTCTATTTTTCCTTATAAATTGGACGTATTTTCCATATAAATTGGACGTATTTTCCATGCTGGTTTGCCTAGTAATACCAGAACTCAATTCATGTTCATGCACTTCATTTTTCAAGCTTAATCCTTGAGTTTATGCTCATTTTCAGTTAAGTTTTCATCTTTACATCATCAACTACAAATGAAAACCCTTTGCATAACTAATTTAGTGAGAATTGTGCATCCAACTGACCCTACTGGCTTCTTTCTTGTTTCTAACTGATTACATGTTATATTACAAGAGATACCCTCCAAATACTAGCTATACAATAAGGGATAACCCTTTCATTCCCCATAGACATCCCGCCTCATTGCAAGGTTTATATTGAAATGTCCCATCGTCAAATTCTTGTGTTTAAACCATTAGGAAATCCCAAATGCCAAACATGCAAACAAAACGAGTTAGCAAACTAGCAGTGTTAAACATTGATGAGAATCCAGTACTTCAGCCCTTATGGTTGGGCTAAGGTCGACTATCATTCCTTTAACATGCAGCCAGATTGGAAGTGTAAATGATAATGAAAACCAACCACTCAGCAATTGAATTTCTAAGGGAGAAATAAATGTGCCTCAAATTAATACACTAGACCCCGTTATCAATTGCAAAGAGTCTATATATCAATATCTGTACATAAACAAAACCTCATCAATTTCATGGACATTGTTACATGGAAATCTTCCTAGAAAAAATTTAGAGTTTCAGTATTGCAGTACATGCTTCTACTCAGATATTTGCTCCAGAGTGCATGTATATCTATTTCTTTTTCCAAAGAAAATTAAGAAAAAGATAGACTTTGAAAGCAACATGTTTGGATTTCTTTCATTCCTCAATCTTCCAAATCGATTCAGATATCAAGAAGAAGAAACGAAGGACCAAAATATTAACTCCCATCACATGCAACTTCCCTGTGGTTCCAACCCCTTATGTGTCACCATATCCATAATATCATCCCAACTACCCTGCCTCGTCTTAGTTAGATGCAAATAAATTCATATATGTGGGTTAGTCAACTTCATCTACATTATAAATGTGTGTGTGTGTGTGTGTGTGTGTGTGTGTGTGAGAGAGAGAGAGAGAGAGAGAGAGAGAGAGAGAGAGTGAAAGGAAAATAAAACAGAAACAAAATCTAAACAAATGCTGGAAATTTGCTTAAAAAAATGTATCACTTGAATGCATAATAGAAACTTGAACAACTCTCATTTGTTGGCCGTTCTCAACTTCTATCTTCCTTATTCACGACAAAGCCACGGTTGGATCAATTCCAAAGTCCGTTTATAAGGATTAAGTCAGCAGCTCAAGGTACCACTGTTCAGCAAAATGGATAGGTACCATACAAGAGCAATGCCTTTTGGTCTTGGCATTTGCACTTCAAAGGGTATGCGCAAGACTCAAGTGCTCTTGTTCTGGCCATCATAACCTTCGGTGATTCTTCAGTAGATGTTGGTAACAACGACTATCTCCCCACCCTTTCCAAGGCTAATTACCCTCCTTATGGAAAGAAGTTCATCAACCACAAACCTACTGGGAGGTTTTGCAATGGGAAGTTAACCACTGATATTAGTGGTAAGTAATAATTAATACTACTAATTTGTCTAGTGATTATTTCTTTAAGTGAATAAGCTAGATAGATTTCCTTTTGCAGCTGAAACTCTGCGATTCAAGAATTATGCCCTTGCATATCTAAGCCCGGGAGCATCAGGAAGAATCTTCTAATTGGGGCCAATTCTGCTTCAGCTACATCAGGTTATGACAACAAAGCTGCCATCATAAATGTGAGAAATAGAATTCTATCTTATGCATATATTCATCTGGCACTTCTTTCCCTTTTTGTCAAACAATTTTTGTATTTTGCAGCATGCTATCCCATTGTCACAGCAATCGAAGTATTACAAGGAGTAACAGAAAAAGTGAGCAAAGTTAGCTGGAAGTAACAAATCTGCATCCATTATCAAGGACTCAATATTTATTCTCAGTGCTGGAAGTAGTGACATGACATCATTCAGAACTACTACGTCAATCCTTTACTCAACAAAGCCTATGCTCACGATCAATATGGTTCATTTCTTATCAAGGTGGAAGATTCATCTCAATCCCGCAAACAATCATAGATAATTAAGAAGAAACAGGTTAAACAACTGAAATTCAGATTACCAGGACTAGACAAAACAGCACGAGGGTGGGGAACTGAAGCTGCTTTCCACTTAACTTTCTCTCCTCACCATTGTTCTTCTGGTTATTCATCTCAGTCAAAATGCATTTCACAATTATGGTTAAGAAAAAGCACAGAATTAACCTATAATGTGAGTTTAATTTCTAACATGTCCACGAATTCAATGTGCAGAGTGAAGTACATAAGTCATACAAGTTAAAAGGTCACAGTAACATGTCAAGAACCGCTTTACTCGAAAATTCAAGCAATTGGATAACAACAAGATTTAAAATGTGGTATGTAGAAGAGAAATAATTAACCTTTAGGAACTGAAATTGAATTAGCATTGGTCACTCTGGCAATTATAGGGGGAGATTCAGAATCCCATTGATTTTCCTTCTCTGCACAGAAACGAGAGGAAAATAAAACCATACATTACATGGGAATATAGCATGTATAATTAGAAGGGGTACTGAAATATCCTAGTGAAAAAGAGTGACACCTGGTATTAATTACCTTGGCTGGAGAAAGACTCTAAAAATTGAACTGAACCACTGTCATCTTCATCTTGTTCCGGCCTCACCTTCAGCTTTGGGTCACTTGGATTAATTTCAAAAACAAAATAAAATATTCATATTAGGATTGCTAAGATGCAAAGAGCTTCCAAAACATAGAAAGAATTAAAGAACACACTTTTGTTCTGTTGTTGTGTCTTGTTTTGGAGTTGGAAGTCTGAATGAGAGTACGCAGTGTGTAGTAGAAGTGATAATGATAAAGCAAAAAAGGAAAAGGGTGGAAGAGAAGGAAGTAACGGTTGGCAACTGCAATGGGAAGGAGTAATTTTGATGATTTCTTGACTTGAAAACCAAGGGGCACATTTGGCTTTTTGAATCATTTTGGCTTTGGCAGGGGAGAAAGTGTTTTTGGTCTGGAAAAAGTATGAGCCAATATTGAAGTGACACGTTGGACAATTTCAGGAGAGCAGTAGGGACGGTGCTTTGTTTTGAATCTATGGGCCTCGTGTTTGAATTTTTTTTTTTTACTGGCTTCACATTTTGGATCTTATAAGGAAGCCCAATTCCCCGTAAGGCCCATTATATATCTGTGGCGCTGCTGTCGATATGAAGGTAATCGGTTATACTGGGCTGATAGGACTCACAAGGTGGCAATTACCTGGGTAATTTTTTTATTTTTCTCTATAAATTAATGTACAAAAATTAATGTCGATTCTTTTTTTTTTTTTTAATTAATATATGAAAATTGTATTTAAGACACTTTTTATCAATAATTTAACCAAAAAATAACTATGTTTTTTTTTTTTGGGCAGCCAAAAAAACTAACTATTATCACCGGCCGACCTTAGAATTCTAACAGTAAAATTGGCTATAGTTAGG